TTTTAGAGTTTTGGATTTTAGGGTTTTAAGGGTTTGGAAGTTTGGGGTTTAAGTATTTGAGGTTTTGATTTAGAGTTTAAAGAGTTTAAAAGTTTAGAGTTTTGATTTTAAGGTTTTTGTTTTAGGGTTTAGAAGTTTAGAATTTAGATTTTAGGGTTTCAAGGGTTATAAGGATTTAAAGAAAACGAGAATATCTCTAAAAATCCTTAACATTTAGGTAGATTTTTGAAGTAAGTTCGATTTTTATAATTACATTTTTTTAAATATTTTTTTATGAAAAATTATTATTATTATTATTATTCATTTTTTTATTAACTTTTAATTTTATTATTATTACTATTTAATAATTCTCCAACATATAAGTGAAATTATTTTTAAAAAATGGTTTTTATTCCATCCATTATCTAGGCAAAAAAAATATTTTATCACTTTATTCTTATTATATCTTTTTAGATTTTTTTAAACATTTTTTGGTTATTTTTCTACTTTATTATTATTATTATTATTATTATTTTATTATTTAAAGAAGAAAAAATCAAAAAATTTGAAATCATTTTTCCATTCTTATTATTGTTATTGTTATTTACTTATTAGTATTTTATTTATCATATAAGGTTTATTGTATGTTTTTTTAATGAAATTTAAAAATATCAAAATTTAGATTTTATTTATTTATTATTATTATTATTATTTACTATTATTATTAATATAAAAAAACTAAACATTTATTCTGACAAAAAATTAATCATGCTTAACTAAAAATAATATATATATAATAAAAAAATAATAATAATTTTTTTTTATCTGAACCGGACTAATCATCACTAACTCTACTGGACTGGCTAAGGGTAGTTTGAACAAGCAGCTCACTTAAGCTGGTTCAGGGTTGGTTGAAGGAAACGGGTTGCCAAATTGGGTTGCACTGATTTCGGATCAGATCTGGTCTATGCACATATCTTCTTTTTTAAAATGATGTCATTTTGGGCTTTTTTAACTTTATATAAAACTCCAAAAAAAAAATTTCACTTTTTCCATTTTTCCAAAAAAACTTTACTATCCTCTCAAAAAAATCCAAAAGTCAGTGACTTCCTAGCCAGCCTCTTAAACTCTAGTTGTTAGGCGTCGTTTCTTTCGTCGTTGGTGGTTGCCATTGATGATCATCGATGATTGTTTTACTCGTCAAAAAATGCCAAAAAACTCTTAGAAATTCTCTTCAACGTTCTCTTTCCAAATCTGATCTCCCTTTCACTAGAAACGCCCCGATAAGAGCAAATCAGGCCTTGAAATTTTCAATCTCCTTTCTTTTCTTTTATTTTTAATAAACTAAAACTGATTTTTTTTTTACCTTTTTGTAGGTAGCTCATTAGCACTAGTTTTTTGTTGATTCGACGAGAATTGTGTTTATTGTTTTCTTTTTTGTGGATTTTTTATTTTTTATTATTTTTTTGGGTTATTGGTTTGGAAAGGGATTAGGCACTGGATGAGGTAAAAAGGGTCGTTGGGTGCGTGGTCTTGGTAAAGCTATGGTTTAGTGGAAATGGGTGCTAGGTCGAAGGGTCTCATGAGGTGTTGGGGTTCTGGGACTTAAGTGTTAATTAGGTACGTGTAGGCTCGAGTGCAAGGGCTATGAGCTGAGATTTTGTTGAGATGCTGTGATGGGGCGTAAGGTGCTCATAGGTAGAACGCAAAAGCTCTAAGAGAGAAGAGGACTAGTGCCTGGGGGTCTTTTGACTCAAAGAAGGGTGTGAGGTTTTTAGGAGCTTCAAAGGGAGGAGTAGGGGGTTTGGCAGGGTTTGGGTGTTGGCAGGATATGGCTGGAGCTACAAGGGAGTAAGTGGTTTAAGGTTTCATGGGGCATGGTGCTGATAAGGGTAGGTGGTGCTAGTGGGATGGGTGGCCAATGGTGCCGTGCAAGGCACCACTGCCACCCTTGTCTTCTTTTTTTTTAATTAATTTATTAATATTATCATAATTATTAATACTATTTGATTAATATTAAAAAAATTTAAAAATGAAACAAAAACAGTGGGATCAGGCCCACACAAGAAATAGAGCTTTAGCCTACGAATTTATTAGAATCGAAAATTTTAAATTAAATTCGGATAAATTTGATGTCCACATTAACAAAAGAAAAAGAAATATCTTCATTTAGATATTTTAGTGATTACAATTTAGTACTCTAACTTAAAAGATAGCTTGAAATGGGGTTATAAAATAAATTAAAATGATAACTTTTAATGAAAGGACTTGACATTATGTAATCTAAAATGATACGTATATAAAAAATATTGCTCAAGCAGTAGTGGAAGTGTTTATGGATTTTAATTGACACTTTTAAAGCTTTGTTCAAAGTTCAATACAGTCCATTGATAAAAAGCTCGAAAGAAAATAAATATTATTTAAAATACTATTAAAAATATAAAAATGAGTTGTATATCAATATTTTAATATATTGAATTATATTTTAAAAATAAATTTAAATTAAATTATTTTTTAATAATAAAATAATGTTATGAGTAAAACCGAATCGAACCAAAACTTAAAAATTTTTATTCAAAATCTTTCTTAAATCAAACTAAGCTTACGAATCTTAAAAGGTATCCAGATTTATGAACAAATCTAATCAACCATTATAACAATTTTGACATGGGATTCTGTGGGATTGCTAGATTTAGTTAGGCTTTAATTAAACATATAATAAATTAATAATCAGATATTCATGCACGAGAATCCCAACTCTCAAGTCTCTAATAGTAAGAAAGGTATGGTCCTCCACACCAGAAAGAGGTTGAACATTGAATGTTTCCATTGACTCTTCCTATGTGCAAATTCGGCCGTCCCCTCTATTCATATGGTTTGCATGCATAGCCACTAATATATTAGATCACAAAAAATCCAAAACTTGACGAACATAGGATAACAATCCCACAACCAAAATCCACAAGCATGCATGAAAGACAAGGGTTTTTTTTTTTAATTTAAATGCATTTTATTAATAATAGAACATACAAGGCTATAGCCATGCTATAAAATCAAAGCTTCTATAAACTCTTATTTTAGTAAGGGAGTCTGTAAAATAATTAGTTTCCCTAAATGCATGCACAAAGGAGATTTTTTTTTTATGCAAATGTAAAAATTATAGAGCTCGTTTATAATGTCATTGTCCTTCTAAGGGCTTTCGGTCACTTTATTCAAACAAGAAGTAACAACTAATAAGTAGTTTCAACGATAATTTTTGAAAGAGGATCAATGTTAGCATCAACAACGATGGAGATAGCTTCTAAGACAGCCAAGATTTCCGCAAAATTTGAGTCTTGAATTCCTACATATTTGGAGAAAAATAGCATTACCTTTCCTTTGTGATCTCGAAGAACACCCCCTATACCTATTTGGATTGGTTTGCCAATTGCAGAGCCATCTACGTTTACCTTCCACACTTCTTTCTCTTCATGTCTTCTATTCCTATATGTACTCTTTTTAGTTGGTATAAAATATTTAAAATTTTTATTAAAATAAAAAATTTGAGAGATTTGTATTACATCGGTGCAAAATAAATTATTTTACATTATTTTTATAATTTTATATAAAATAATATTTGTACAGAAACAAAATTGCTTATTTTAAAATTATTCTGTATTTATCGTATAGTTTAAATATTTTAATTTTTGGTTTCTTTTAATTTAATTATATAGTAATACAATTTTTATAAAACTATAAATTTTATTAATAATATATATACATATTAATTAATATTTCTAATATTAAAAAAAAAATCAACATTTATCAAAATTTCAAAGAGCTTAAATTTAATAAATATCCCTTATAAAAACAAAGAATATTTTTTTATAAACCAAAATCAATGTTATCCTTTTCTAAAAGCTGTAGGATTTTGTAATTATGCCCATTTCGATCTTTTAAATAAGCTAAATTGCCCGAAGCTATCCTAATACAATCAACTATTTTCCAATAATGTTAAGCCATGGACCCATTGGCATTTTCAGCGGTGGACTTGCGTTCACGCAGAAAGAGGCTTTTCAACTGCTTTTTATGTGTGCTTAATTTTTGTTCAAACAATAATGACGAACCAAATCATTGCTACTTTCTTTTTAAATTGTATTGGAAACCACATTCCTTGACTAAATCCCTAACACGGTCAATCACTAATCACTGTCAAATATTTTTGAATGAAATTTAAACGAAGCTTGTGAATTAAAAAAATAATTTAATGAAAATTTTAATAAAATTTAAATCAATAAATTAATAAAATTTAATATAAAAATTAATATAATAAAAATATTATTTATAATTTAAATTAAAAAAAATATCTAATAGTAAAAATTTGTTAAAATATTTATTAAAAAATATATCAAATTTTATATATTTAATCTATGTAGTAAATTTTTTATTTTTAATTTAATTATTTTTTATAAAAAAAATTTATAAAATTCATTTTAAAAACTTTATATATATAAGTCTTTCTCTAAATTCTTTGCAAGAATCTAAGCAAGCATAATTCCATTGATTTAATGTTTCTTTTAAAAAGTATAATTTATGGATAATAATTTAAAAGAATAATTGCGTTCACACTTTTTCCCCCAAAAATCCAAAAAGAATAAAAGTTGTGAAAATAGAAACAAAGTACTTCAACGGTCCAAAACCCTAAACCATATCAATTACTATATATAATATATATCTATACACACATCAATACCTGTTGATTTAAGTAATAAAAAATTTAATTTTTATTACGTAAAATTTTAATTTTAAATTTTTTGAATTAAAAAAAAAATTTAATAAAATTTATTTATCTTATAAAATTTAATTTGATTCAATTTCAAATTAATCGAAATTCAAAATAATTATCGAACAGAAAATATCATACCAAAATATACATATATGTATTTATGAAGTTGTTGTACGGAAAATATAACGTAGGCAAAAATAAATATATATATATATATATATTAATTTTGCATGGGACTAGACCAGACTATTTTGGTTCCGTGGTACCTCAAAATTTAGATCTACCAAATCTCCTTTGAAAAATTTAATACGCAGAATACGACCGTTGGCTTTTCCCCTTTATCTCCTCAAACCAAAAACAGAGCATCTTCTCTTTGGTTCTTCAATCTCCACATAAACGAACAACAATCTCACTGAAAATAATGGCCGTCGATTACGCGTTCACCGACAAGGAAATGATGATCGATGAGGGTCTCGGGTACCCAAGAGCCTATGCGAAAATCTGTCGGGACAGCAGTCTTGGTCCCTACAATCATGGCCCTCCTTTCACCTTCATGCCTTATGTTTTGCAGCAAAATGAAGTAATTTTTTAAACATTTTTTTAATTTTTTCTGTTTTTGGGTTCTTTAAACTTGGAGAGGAAATGGATTTTGGGTGGTGTTATTCTTATGTTGCGTTTTTGATGAAAAATAAGGATATTGGAGGTTCAATTACTAACTTGTATTTTTCAGAGTTTGAGAGCAAAGGAAATGGACCAAATGTTCCCAATTATTGATCCAGAGGCAAGACCAACCGCTAAGCCAAAAATCTTCATCAATCTTTTGTGGAAGCAGCTCAGCCATTTGGGGTAATTTACTTTAATTTACTTTTCACTAGACCCTAAAAGCTTAGAAAGGTGCTAAGAAATGGAATATGATGGAGGTTTTTTTTTTTTTTTTCCTGATTTCTATCACTTTCTATGAGTTCAGGAACGCCGGCTTTGATCCAGAAGAAATTCGTGTGGACCCATATGGCAATGTGTTGTATTACCATGCTGATTCAGCTTCACCTCTTGCCTGGGATATTGATCACCGGTTTCCTTGCTCAAGTACATTACTAAATGACCATCAATCTGTGCATTGTTTGTTTTTCTTAGTTATGTTTTCTTCATGCTTCAATTATGGTGCTGCTTTAAAATTTTTAGGGGGTGGATTGACTGTTGCTAGTAATCTGAGGATATTACAATGGCAACTATGCAAGAAAAAACATAACAAGCTAGAATTTCAAGTCCCATGGTGGGATTTTCAGTTGGGAATTTCTGTGAACCAGTTCTTATCCATTTTTGCTTCTAGAAATTCTGATTTCAGGTTTGGGGTTTTTGTAATTTCTACATTTCAATGAATTCTATAACTGGACAACTGACACTGTAATGATTGATGCAAGCTTTACAAATATGGCAGGCACAGAGCATTTTCCTTCTTGTTTGCAGAAGGTGAAAACGAAGAAATAAATTCTTCACAAACAGTGGAGTCTCATTCTTTTCCACAGCATTTTATGAAGTCAAAAGAGCAATTTGGCCTTGCTCCAGCAGCTGTTGTTGTAACTCGAAGGGAACCATATGATACTTCATCACCTTTGAAATCACTGGATTACAACAGGCAGATTAGGCCACAGGCTCCTATTATTGGTTAGTAACAAAGGAAAAAAAGAACATTCTAGCTATAGATTTAATTGTGCATTCATCTCAATCATATAATCTCACAATAATTTTTTTTTTCAGCGGCAAGGAATGTGAAATCCAGCATCTTGAAAGAAAATGAAAATCCAGATTTTGTTACAAATCCATACCAGGCCATTGTTATGGCCAGAGATTCACTGAAACAAAGGGAAGAAGCACAAAAGAGGCAAGCAAAAATTCAGAAGTTGGATGAAGAAGTGAATGAAATGAGGTGGAAAAATGATGAAGAAAAGGTTGCTATTCAAGACTTGGAAGTGGAACTGATAAAGCGTAGGAGAAGGGCAGAAAAGTGCAGACGGCTAGCGGAGGCACAATCTTCGTACAGGACAATGCTAGAAAAGATGATTCGGGATGCTATGCACCAGTAAGATTGTCAACCACCTGCTGCTGATATAACAATATTTCTGTATTCTATTTATAGATTTAAAAAATTCTCGCTTTGCTTCTTGTAGGAGTGTTGTTTACAAGGAACAGATGAGATTGAACCAAGCTGCAGCAAATGCACTCAAGGCAAGACTTGTAGCCCAAAGGGCAATATGCGATGCTTCGGAGAAGGAACTTCACAAGAAATTTAAAAAACGAGACGAACTTGAGAAGCAGATAAGGCCTGAATGGGAACAAGCAAGGAAGAGATCAAGAATGGATGATACTTTCTTTCAAGGACATGATACTAAAACTGTTATTTATCTACCAGGAATCAGGCCAAGGACACCTTTAAACAAGGAGCTGAGAGTGTTTCTGAAGGAGGAACATAAAGCATCTGTGGCCGGTTTGGTTTCAAATGAAGATCAAAAGCATGAAGAAATTGAAGAGGAACTGGAAATTACAGCAAGAAATGCTCTCAGAGGAAGGCGTGAGGAGCATGATAAAGCCATAGCTGCTTTAGAAGATGAAAAATCAATCGAGCAGAAGTTTCAGAGACTTGAAATAGGAGAGGAGAGACAAGAAATTCAATTCCCTGTTATTGAAGAAACAGAAAGAGAGGAAGATGAAGAGTGCAGGAAGCAGCGTGGGAAAGGGAATGTAGAGAGGTGGCTCCAAATGCTGTTAGAGAACAGTCAAGAAGAATTAGACCCTCAAAATGAAGATGCAGAAGAAGTGACTGGAATTGATCAAATAATAAAAAAGCTAGATTTAAAGTATCCACAAAAAGAGAAAGAGGTCATGACGCAAGTTCATGAGAAGCAGCAGACTGTTCGCGGGAAGGATGTTGGAAAGAAAAAAGAAGAGATTGTTGAGATAGAAGGCAGTAAAACACCAAGGAGAAGTAGTAATGCTTGTGAAGTGGCTAGTATTGTTAATGAAGGTGTTGGAAGCAGAAAGGAAAGAATTCTTATGAGGTCTGAGAGTGCCACAGCCTTCCGACGAATCCCATCTTCTCCATCTTTGATTCTTGGTGGTATGAAAAAAGGAGTGAAGTGCATGAGGAAGAAGCCAATACTAACTACTAACTAGTGATGATGATGAAGATTATGCTGTGGGAAACAACTTCCTCAAGTCGTCTATCAAAACAATAAAGAAGGCAGTGAAAGTATAAAGATTTATTCCTCTCTGTATCTCTGTGTATTTACTCTTCAACATTAAGGGCTTTTTTTTTCTTTTTTTTTTTTTTTAAGATTGTTAAAAGTATCTCTTAAGTTGAATAATGGAGTGAATGTATGTCTTTTCAGCTTTTGATATCTGTATATTTTCATTCAGTTGTGAGATAACAGCTTCTTGTTTTTTCATAGACCCTATCAGTTTGGTCAATATCTGCATATTTTATCAGTGGTTTACATTTTAGCTATTGTTCTCTAAACGATTATGGGCATCAAACCTAAGCTCTTCTAATAAACAGAGTATTTTGGTATTTTTGTGGTTAAATCTGACCGTATATAAGACATTTTTATTTACCATCTTTTTTACTCAATTTAATCCTCTAATTGAGGTTCTTATTAATCCCATAACTGGGAATAAAATTCTTCTCTTCCACTCCCAAATAGGCTTCCAATTTCAATATCTGCTTATGGACTCTCTCTTGGAACCTCCAAAAAGCACATCATGCGCGCATGCCATCTACGCAGGTGCACAAAAAAAGCAGCAGTTGATCTTAACAAGGGATTCAATTTATCTTGGAATTCTTTGATTAGTATGTTTGTCTCATTTGTTCTCTCCTAGAAGCCTGTAACTTCGAAAATATGCAGATTCAAATTTGGGCTTAGACAAGGAACAAGAGACCATGGTCCATATAATAAATACTTTCCACTTTAAGAACACATCGGGAAATATATGCATCATCAGCTTTTTAAATAAAAAACCTTGTCAATCTCATGCAGTAGCAATGAGTTATAGCTTCACCAATAAATGTAATGCAAATCAGCAAATAGACGATTCATCAATCCACCCATAATGAGTATATAATGGAACTATCAACGAGGTATAGCTTTGTTAGATGGTAAAAAACCCTCTATGCAGCCTCTGAGGGACAAATACATCACATTAAGTATGTGCTTCTTCAATACTCAAACAAAAAGGAAGCCTAAAATCATGAGCCAAACCAGATGTATTTCAAATTTGATATTATTGTGAATTTTGATTTTACACAACATCCTCAATTTTCAGGTAACTTTTTCTCGTATTTGGCCTTACAGGAAAAATACAACTGTACAGAGGAAAGCAGAATAGCAGACAACACCTTACCATAACTACAGGAAGTTATAGTTTGCTGAGTTTCTTAAGCACCATGACATCAATCGCAATGCCGTTTACATTGCTAAGCAAACAGAAAATAAACTTTTTCTCTTCATGCCAATGGAGCATCAATACTCAAGATGATTCTACAACACTCTTCCAAGATTCTTTGTCTTCCGTGGAACCAATGGAGCATCAATATTTTCTCTTCTTGCCAATGGAGCATCAACTTTTTCTCTTCATGCCATTTTAGTTGTAGCAGGCTGATCCATGATGCATAGCCCAATAACACATTTTCATATTGCCACATTTAAGCTGCCTTTTGCATATCTACATTCTACATGGGAGTTAATAACTTTCTGTTGCAGGCCAAATGCGTTTCTGGACTAGAACCTGGGCTCAAATAAATAAATGTGGGACGTATATGTTATAGGCCATTGAGCTTCATTGGTCTTTCTCTGTCGTGTTCGTTATACCACACCAGGAGAGAGAAAGAACGTATGAACTTTATGTCACGCCCCGAATCGAGACATAACACGACCATATTACCTTGAAGTAAAACCTCAAAGCAATACGAAGCCTAGTCCATAACCATTGAACAACTCTCAAATATAAAGGTTCTCATTAAGTAACATAACTAGATAACAAGTCTTCAAAGGTTCAAAGTCGAGTATTACAACTAAAATAAACAATACTTCATAAAATCTTAATTTCTAAGTAGTTCTCCAATGCTCAATTCTTCTAGCCCTTCTCAAGCTAATCATACTTATCATTCATAACATTTGTAAAAGAAAAGAAAATAGGGAATGAGCAAACCATAGCTCAGTAAGTAAAGGCTCACACACCTCACCAGATCAAACAACATTTTTCATACATATCATATAAATCATTCTCAAAACGTTCATCAACTCATAATGTCAAAAATAGTTTAAAAATCAGCTTTCTATTAAGCATTCATAGATCATAAATCAAATCAAAACATATCACAAATCATAGATCAATCATTAAAAATCATTACAAATCATCATAATCATAAATCATTATTATCAACCGTTTATCATTAGCTACGGTCACTGCTATAACTTGTGACATTGGCCGTATCGACAATTTTATCATCATGATCATTGCTAACTATTATAACCCGCTAGCCAGGGCCTTATGTCACGGGTCGAGACTTAAGCTTCGAACCCGTACGGCTCCGGGACCCGGGCATTCACCCTTTCGACGTCTCAGATCAGCTTTCCTGTCACGATTCACACCCTTGTGAGGTATTGTCCACTCTGACCCCCATGGCCTCACGGTTTTATCCTACAAAAGGCGCCTCACAAGGGAGAGGTGATGTGAACCCTTTTATACCCCAGTGACCCTCCTATTATGTTCGATGTGGGATTCAAGATCTTCTTTAGGTCCGTGACATTCTTTCTCACCCAACCTTGTGACGCCCTCATCACGGAGGCTGGCCACCCTGCCTACCTCCCTTGAGGCACTTGGCGTGAATTGAACGGTTTAGGGCTGGCTCTGATACCACTTGTCATAAGTCGAGACTTAAGCTCCGAACCCGTACGGCTCCGGGACCCGAGCATTCACCCTTCCGGCTTCCTAGATCAGCCTTTCTATCACGATTCACAACCTTGTGAGGTATTATCCGCTCTGGCCCCCATGGTCTCACGATTTTATCCTACAAAAGACATCTCATAAGGGAGAGGTGGTGTGAACCTTTTTATACTCTAGTGACCTCTTATTATGTTTGATGTGGGATTCAAGACTCTTCCTTAAGTCTGTGACACTTACGCTAACTACTATAACCCGTTAGCAGGGTCGTATGATCATATATATGCTAACTACTATAACCCGTTAGCCAAGGCCGTAGAACTAGTTCTGGTGTCGATGATCCCACTTCCCAAGGATGTAAAAACGTAGCAATCAAAAAATCATTTTCTCATTTCATTCATAAGCATGATCCATCATTTATATAGAGAAACATAAAATAATCATATGCTTGATCCTATTTTCATACATCGAAAATAATAAAATAAAATATTCATCCATTTAGAAATATACATATATACATAAATTCAAAAACAAGCAAAGTATGTGAGATTCTACTTACTTTCTTTCGATTCCACCACCTAATTTTTCTCCCTCAAAAATTAGTAGCCTATTCAAGATAATTCCAACATAACAATAATTAATCAACCCATTTGAGGTCACTTATACCAAAACAATTAAGTTAAACAAGTAATAACTCGAGTAATTAATTCTGGCAGCCTATGATACTTTCACTAAAATGACCATAACTCAAGATATCCAATTCAAAATTAAAATCTTTTTAATGCGTTAGAAACTAAACTTGACAAGCTTTCTAACCATATATGGCCCATCTCGTGATTCCTTGTGGATTAATTATAATAATTTTTGAAATTTGCGTTATAGGCTATTACCAGACAGCTTGTATACCTTTTCATAAAAATTACGTATTTATTCATAGGTAGCTCCAAATTCAATTCCGTTTATTTCATTGGAAATAAAACTCAATTTTCAAACATATATGGCTTAATTTGTAAATCCTTGTATAAAAATTAAGGAAAATTTTGTAATTCCTCCCTACTGCTGCTACTAGACAGCCTGCACATCTTTAGATAAAAATTGGATAACTCTTCATAGAGAACTCGAATTCAACTCCCGTTTGTTTCATTAAAAAGTAGATTCAACATGCTTTCCAACAATATATAATAATCATAGTAGTATTTAACCCTTCAATTCAAAATATAACCTTAATTCATCACTACAAACATAAGATTCATATAAGGATTTATACGAAATAAAGATTTTCCTTTCTATTCCCATCAAATTTCTATTTCAGCAATAAATTCACATTACCAATTTTCTCAACACTTAATTTGACCCTAATTAAAGTCTAAATTATCTACCCGAAGAGGGATAATGGAAACCCTAAAATTTTAGGTTTTTCAATTATAAATTACACCTTAAGACTTAACCATTAATAACCCAAAATTGAAAGAGATTATTTACTCACCTCTAACAGACAATTTCTCCTTGTAGATTTGTTATTTCCCTTCACTTGGAATCCTTCAATTGATCTTTTCTATAAAAGAAATAGAGGGGAAATAAGTTTCTATTTTTCTTTCGATTAGTCATCGACTAAAAACTGAAAAGTTAACCCTATTAATAAAAATTGGGTTATTTATCAATAAGTCCTCTACATTTCTCATTCTTTATTAAAGAGTCTCCCCACTTATAAAAATATTTAAAATAATCCCTCTATTTTTTTTAGGGATATTAAAGTGGTATCAGAGCGAAGGTTTAAGATCCAGGAAAGGAAAAAACTGAGCTATAGTTAGTGTAAAACTTAAGCATTTTTAGCATTTACACCGATAAGATTCGATTATTTTATTTTGATCGCTTATTAACTATTTTGTTGGTATTAATTTAGGTGAGAATGAGTGGTAGAAATGAGACATTGACAGACCTTGTTGGTCGAAGGAAAAGAAATGACAGAAGAAGGGATGAATCTGAAACCACCAATATTCAAGATGAGCAAATTGATATTAAAAATGTTCCTAATGCTCCGGTGATGCGGGATGATTTAGTTGGAGTGTGTCAGGTGGTGTCTAATTTGATCTAACAATAGTAGACACAAAAGAATTTGCAACAACGCGAGACAACTTATGAATAATTTCAAAAAGTTAACCTACCTCAGTTTGAAGGCGACCCTGATCCTTTGGTTGTAGAAGCTTGGGTTAAAGAGTTAGAAAAACTCTTTAAGGTAATGCGTATCTTTGAAGATTTGAAATTGAGCTTGATTGTTATTCAACTAAGAGAAAATATTAAGTACTGGTGGGATACTATAAATCCCACATTTGAAGATTCAGGTGAGC